ATATTCGTCCCTTTCAAAACATAGTAAAATATTTTTAAAAATTTTCTTAAGTGTCTCCAATCAATCTTTTGAATATATTTGGTCATCTATAAGTTAATAAATATGGCTGCATTTTAAAAAGCAGCTTTGAAAGAAAGAAAAATTATCATTAGCTTATCCAGGCTCCCAGAATTAAAATAAATATATTACAAAAAAAAAAAAAAAAAGAATTAAAGAAAAAAAAAGTAGGGTGTGGTTAGGGGTGATATCGTAGAGAAAAGATGAGAGAGAAGATTCGAGAAGGAAGCAAGAGAGAAACTTTATTGAAATGGCTAAAATTGGCAATTAATTCGATACTATTGCAGTCACATGATCTTAGAATAATCCTAAGTGCAGTAATTGGTTGTCAAAGTAACCCTTGAGTTGCAGGAGTCTCTGGCAAAGGCGATGGAGATAGGGGGGGGAAGGGAATGGACTTCAATGAGGGAGACTAATACATAAAAAATAAAAAAAAATTAAATACATAAAATTCTTAAAAGTTGGGTGTAGCAAATATTTAAAATTCATAAAATAAAATAAAACTGTTACAAAAAAAAAAAAGAAATAAAAATTGAGGGGGGGGATTAAAAAAAAAAAAGGATCTAGAAAACATTTCCCATCTTTTTTTCTTTTTAAATAAGCTTTGGAGGGATCCAAAATTAAATGGAAAAGAATTTTCTTAAATTGAGAGAAACAGAAATAGCTAGAATTTGATTGGTTGTTTTCAAACTTTTGAGCCAGAGCAAAGTGAATGGCAGCTGGTCGCATATCTGAGACTGAAATTAGTATCAAGCAGTTCGTACATAACAAAATTGTGATTCTTCTGATTGCGAACAGTTCACCTGCACGGACTCAAAACACAGGAATTCATCTTCAAGTTAATGAATTTAAAAGGCAATCAAGCATATACTTAAATGGCAGTGTGTGCCTGCGTATACGCATATTGAGAGGGAAACACAAAATTCCTGAAACCTTAGCCCTATTTCTCTGCATGTATATGTGTGTGTAAAATTTCTCTCACACGTGTCATCAATAACTGATTGTTTGAAGATTCTACTCTTTGGCAAATGAGGAGGAAGGAAAAAATTTCAGGGGTGAATGAGTTTTCAAGAACTTTCTGCCAAGATTACCAACATTTTTTTCTGTCCACCTGCTTTTAGCTTAAACATCTAAAGAACATCTTGTGGTACCCAACAGCAACTGGATACATGCAGGTTTAACGAATTTCAACTGTCCATACAACATGTATTACTAGCACAAAAACATCCACCAATCATCGTCATCAGGTATTATACCTGAACCTCCATAACTATTTTCCTCCATTTTCATCTTCTCAAAACCAAAATTTGAAGTTACTTGATTTTTTTGTTTAAAATATTTCCTTTGATTGAAAATCACACTTTCATATAATCTTATGGAAAAAAAGACACAAGAAGATATTTTGGCATTATAAAAAAAAAAAAAAAAAAAAAAAAAAAAAAATCAATGAAAAAAATGTTTATTGTTTTTAACAATAAATGTTTAAAAGAGCAATTGTTACCGAAATATACTAAATTTAAAATGTACTAAATTTAAAATATACTAAATTTAAAATTAAAATAAAATACAAGACAAATTCAATTTTTTTTTTAAAATATGGCCATTCAAAGATATTTTTGCTCATATACAAATATGTATGAAGAAATTCTCAATGGATTTTTTTTTTTGTCAGAATCACCTCAAGCAAGGCAGTAAAGCCACTAAGACGCAAGGGTTGACTGGGTATGGAAGAATTAGGAACAGAAACATTAATGATAAGCAGAAAAAGAAGAGAGTAATCAGGTGGACAGTAGATAGCGATTGACATTGCATTTAAATTTTTACAGATTAAAGTTGGCTGGATGCATGAAGTTGGAAGGGTATTCCACATGCGAGAAGTGTGAGAGAAGAAACTCTTAGCATAGAACTGACGGTTTCATCTCGCCAGCTCAACTGCAAATTGATGAATTCTCGACACCAGTCTAGTACTGCTCTTAAATTCAAAAACTCTAGGTACCATAGTGAAGAGCTCATCTGAACAATTGCCATGAAAATATTTATAGAAAAGACAGAGAGGCAACCTTACAATGTTGAGAAAGTGACTGGAGCCGAGCCACCAGATCAGGGCCAATAATATTGCAGATTCTTCTTTGGATCTTATCAAGGAACCCAAGGTAAATAGCAAGGGCACTGGACCATATGTGGCAGTAATATTCTAAGCATGGATGAATGGTAGACTTATAGATATGTAAGATAGATTCTGGAGAGAAAAACTGTCACACCCGACATAGTGAACAAAGTTTCTTAGCAGCTGACCTAGCAATGGATTCAATATCATCTTTTCACTTCATATCAGCAGAGAACGTGAACCCATGAAGGCGTAACAAGTCATTTTCTTGGAGGTTAGCATCAGCCATGCTTATGAAAGGCAGCAAGAGGTCTCTTAGATGATTAACAGAGAGAAGTTTAGTTTTAGAGGCATTAAAATTAACAAGCCACCTTTTGCAACTATGAACTTGATCATTTAGGACATTGGCTACAATTTTGAACTTGTCAGACTGATATTGAGGCAGGAGTAAATTGTGTTGTCAGTATAGATTCCAAGTTTAGAGCTAATGTCATCAGGAAGTTCCTTAATGAAAATTAAAAAAATAGAGTAGGCCCAAGGCTGGAGCCATGGGGGACATCTACGTTAATACGAAAGGATCTAGAAAAGTGGCTGTTCAGGATAGCTCGCTTTTCACGATTTGATAGGGTTACCCCAACCCTGATATCACTTAAAAAAATAAAAAAATATTTCTATTGTTAAGATTCCACCTTATGAAATGGATGTTTTCAGAAGTATTTCATTAGAAGGCAGATCAAGGGAAAGTATTTTTATAACAATCAATAATTCTTGAACAATGTTAATATATAGCCCGTCAAATCATTTCAGGACAAAAAAAAAAAAAATCCTATATGAACTGTGACATTGACTTAAAAATATCTATCCATAAAATAGAATTAAAAAAAGTAGACGAGATTTTTAATCTTTCTATAGTAATTGCGAAAAAGGAAAAAAAAAAAAAAATGTAATTGTATTATTTTTTTTGCAAATTCAGAAGATTAGATATTTTTCAGAGGTTTCAGAATCTCCAGAAGCTAAAGTAATTTTTTTTTTCTCTTAGCCCCTGTGGTAGAAACAAAAAGTGAAAGATATTTAAGTACTATCTTAATTCAATTTGGTCAAAGTTAACCAGAATCAATGATGGGCAGAAAAAAAATTAATTCAAAGTGTACCAGTCTACCAGGAAAACAGACTTAACTAAAAATGGTAGCAGGTTCATCAAATGATGATCAGGTGAAAATATTTTAATTACATGCTGTTCTATGATGAGAGAGATAGAGAGAGGAATAAAAATTGCGTTAAGGAACTTTGGCACTGGAAATGACATGAAATGCAGACCTCTTCCTCTTTATGTTGTCTTTTAGATTTAAAAAAAAAAAAAAAAAAAAAAAAACCTCGCTTAGAAAAGTCAAGTAAATGTGAAAAACTTCATTTTAGAAGACATTTTGTCCCCTGGTACCTACCAGATCTAATTTGGCTCAAAAGCATTCCTTTAACAACCCCTCTCTTCACAACAGAAGTTTTTAACTATTACTAATTTTATTTATTTATTTTTTTTTTTTCCTCGGCATCTTCATTGTTGTGTAAAAGTCTCAGCAGCCCTTTCAGATGACATATGCAGCACTTACAAAAGATAGAACCACATTCAAAGGTAACTTACAGATGTAATTAGCACTGGGCCTAGAAGGAGTCTTTTTCAGTTTTCTTTCCATCTTTTCTAATTGAGTAAACTACTGCAGGCAACAAAATCTTGCAGAAGTGTTTTGCTTGACGTTGTCATTGCAAAATGTTAATTTTGAAGCTGTCAGGAAACTCTAAGGAATTTTTATGTACACTAATATACTTATGTACATTGGTGCCTATGCAAATATATATCTACAAACTAATACAAGGAGGTGCTGAAAGTTCTTGACCCACAAAGAAGGCTTTAAAATACAATATATATATATATATATATATATATATATATATATATTACAATGTTGTTAGCAAAGAGATTTCGCCATTTTATATCATTAAATTTACTATTCTACTTTTTGTATGAATGATTCATTGTAATATAAATTGAACTGCCACACATATTTGATTTAAAAGAACTGATCTGACGTGCAAATTTTCGGGATAACAACTGAGACATTACTCTATTTATTGAACTATTTAGTTCATGCCACATTGATTGATAAACTCCTACAACAAAAAAATTCTCAAATTGCCATATTAGTAAAAAAGGCACTCTCTTAAATTTTCAAAAAAATTCAACCTTAGCGTTGCGACTGCACGCTCCAAAAGTTTGTATCTGTTATCAATAACACATTTCAAAAATTTTATATATATATATATAGGGTCGGGGCATAATTATCAGGCACTTTTTAAATATTTATTATGAAAAAAGAAGCATAACAACAATAACATTTTTAAATGGTTATTCCAGTGTGTATGATTATTGACACATTTTTACAACCTTGAAATTAAAATAATATTTTATTAAAAAATAAACAAAACAACCATTTTTATTAACAAATAACTCACCTATAAAAACGACTGATAATTATGCACCAACCCAATATGTATATCTATATATATATATCTATCTATCTATCTAAATAAATTAAATAATTTTTCAAGGAACTGACATGCATATCAATGCCTATGGGTTATTTAATGCCAAAATCTAAATAATTTTTGTGCAATTTTATTATATTTTTGGAAATAATAATGGTTTGGTCATACAAGTCTTACTAATTAACTCATAAATGGTATTTGCATGTAAATGAATATATTAAACTTAACAGAATTGGAACTCAGATCTGATTAATAATTCAGAGCCGTTATTAATTACACCACCCGCACATCCAAGCTTACAGCACCTGGTATTCCCAAGTGGTCACCCATCTAGGTACTGACCAGGCTTAACATTGCTCAACTTCAGTGATCGTATGGGAACGTGATGTGGCTGTAAGTCAGAGGAGTGAAGATAATTAAATTAATAGTGTCAAGGGGAAAAAAGTGCTTTTAATACAGTATTGTTTGCTTAACATTTGATATACAGGTGATAAACAGGTATCTTAAAAACAGCTTTTGTATTAATTATTAAATTCATTTATGTGTTTCTTAGGAAAAGACCCGTATAATGTCGTAAAAGAAGTTGCAATAGTGTGTATCACTGAAGTGAAGTACAAAAATGTATTTTATTGGATAAAGCAACTTGAGAATTTTTAATATGTTAGCCCAAGACATCAGATAATATAAGGTTGGAGGAATAAAAAAAAAAAAGTGAGCAAGGTGACAAGTGAAAAACATTGCAAAAGCACAAATGATATTAAAAAAGTCCGCTTTTCAAAATTATATATATATATATATATATATATATATATATATATATATATATAAATATATATCTTCCATTTTCATTTTAGCATATCCAATTACCTCTCTACTTATTTTTTTTTACCTACCTTCATATTATGACCAGATATTTTCTCATAAATAATGATGGATCATAAGGATTTGTAAATTTTACTTAGCTTCATATTGCAAGCACCTATTTTTTAATGAACAAAAAAAACAAAACAAAAAAAATAAAACTTCTGTGGCCAATAAGACTTAAAATTTGTATCATTCTTTTAGCTAACCTCATATTCTGAGCTGACATCTTGTGTTTTCATAAATAAAGCATAAATCAATTTCTGCAACGAATAAGAATTTTAAAGCGGAAATGACTATTTAATAAAGAAAGTCGATCCTGTCACCTTTCAATATGAAAAGGACTGGTATCAGAATTCAAACGAAATAGAAAACAGCGTACGAAATATTTTTTTTTTTTTTTTTTTATTATTATTATAAGTACTAAATTTTCGTAATAAAAAAAAAAAGAAAATCACATATTTTCCTTTGGTCTTCCAAAGAAGAAATGTAATTTTAAAAGGTCTATTTATTATTATTATTTTTTTAAAAGGTATTCAGAATTTGCTATGACAAGAACGTTTCGGGCGCTGAAAATACAAAATAATGAAAAGATTACCGCTAAAAAAAAGTAAACGTTTGGTTTGACGTTTTTGGCTTGGAGGTTTTCAAAAGAAGCCTATTTAAAAGTTATTACAACTATTGCATTGCTCTTTGAAGCGCCCAAGTAAACCGAGATTTAATTTTAATTCATAAAATTACAGATTTTAACAGAACAGGTAATAAAAAAAAAAAAAACAACAAAAGAAAAAGTAAAAGAAAAGTGCACGTGAAAAAGTCGAACAAGTGCTTCAATGTATCAATGGTGTAAGGGAGGTAACCAACAAGTCACACATCGGCTGATTCCAGGCGAAAAGTGTGTATTTTAAAATGTACGATCAAGATGTTATTGATTCCTTATGACAAGATAAACCAAAATTTAAGAAAAAAACAAAAAGAGAAAAAGACACTGGAAGAATTTTAAAAAAAACAACTGTAGTGTTAGGCTAGTCTAGGAATCGGAGTTGCCATTTTTAAAAAGGTCTATTACTAAGAAAAGAAGGTTCCAAATATCGATTGTTTTTTTTTAACACGCAAATTGAATTTGTTTTTAAAATGCCGACAGAACACAAGAAATGAGTTCATATATCCGTGTAGATTTGGTATATTTATCTTTTTGTGAAAAAGATTTTGAATTAAAGCAGGACAAAGTTTTAAAAAAAGGGAAAAAAGATGACTTCACCACTGACCCTCTCCAGGTCAAAAATCCTTTAAAAACTGCAAATGAATTCGAAAAATTCAATTTAAATAAAATACTAAGATCTTAAAAATAAACACAATTATTGTCTTTTTTATTTAAAAATTACAAATTTAAAAGTATCTTTTAAAAAATGAGAATTCAATTAAGTTTTAGTGATGAAGATATTTTATTTCCCCATTTTCTTTCTTTCTTTCTTTTTTTAATTGCAGAAAATTAAAATAAACGGAAAATATATCGGACTTGAGAGAGAGAACAGGAGGAGGGTCTCTACAGAAATTGCTATATCATCGCATCTGTGATCGAAACAAACAAAAATGATTCCTGACTTACAAAAAAGGGGGGGGGAGAAAAAGGAAACCCCCCCCCCTCCGCGGAAAGTTGGAGGGATTGAAGTTTGAAATAGAATAAAAGAACTATATTTCTATATTAGTCATCTTGAATAAAACACATTGCCGTCTTTGGAAGACGATTCGCAGGCAATTTATTTAAAGAGATTTCAACTGAAGCGAGTTTTCTTTCTTACAAAAAAAGAAAAAAAAAAATGGAATTTCGAAAAAACACAGGCAGCTGCAAAAAATATTCTAGCAAACTTGAAAATAAAACATGCATGAGTCACGAAACATTAGTTTCGTTATTTTTTTTAATCCCAATAATAGCGATCTTTACTTAAATCCTTATGTCTTTTACTATTAATACGATATAGATTATCGAAATTACTATCAATGACCTGCGAGATCTGCAAGTTAAACAATTCATTACCATAAGCGCTTGTCATCCTATGAAAATTAATAAAATGCAATTTATTGATGTTTCGAAATGTTTTTAAATTATCAATAATCATAGATATTAAAAGAAAAAAAGACGTTTTTTTGGTACCTTTCCATCCAACTTTTTAACTTTTATGAGCAGTAAAGTTTTATTTTCATTTTTTTTGGGGGGGGGTGATCTCTTCTCTTAAAAGCCTTACGCCGTAGAGTCCCTAGCTGTTCTTTTAAATGACTAATTCATTGCTAATCCAGTTCCAAACATCTCTTGACGAACGAAAGAGGAAAAAAAAAAAACAAAACAATCTGAACTCTGAAGTTACCTATTTTTCGATTTGGCAATAATAAAGATCGCATCTAGTTTTAAAAGTAAAAGAGAACAAAACTTAAAGAAATAAAAAAAAAAAAAAAAAAAAAGCATTATTCTAAGAAAGTCGAGATAACTTTGAAATAAGAAAAGAAAACGGAATCATTGTTTGCAAAGACGGGATACGTAAAAAAAAATCCATCTTCCCATTTTAACTAGATTACTTTTTATTTTTTATTTTTTTTTTTTGTTTTTTTTTGGAAAATAAATAAAAATCAATGTCTTTGTTCTTTAACAGCGGATTGCCCGGATGTATTCCTTTCCGTTTCAATCAAACAGCCTACCACCCCCGCCACCCTGACTATTTATTTATTTATTTTTTGTTTACGGACATTATGTTGGATGGGTGGCTCTCTCCTAGGAGGTAGGTTTTTTTTTGTTTTTTTTTTTAATTTGCCTCCGACCCTAGAATCTGCATTCATCTCCCACCATGACTCCCTATGCATACACCGACCCTTTGTCTTTCATATCCCCACCTCAATTTTTTTTTTTAATTTTTCGTCAATATGGGGGGAGGAGTAACAGAGTGAGAACAAAGTATAACACAAACAGATTGGGGGTGAGAAGGTGAAAGATGCTAGGTGCGAGAGGATGTATCATCAGAATTTAAATTTTGACAACTTATGTCTCATCACTAGCTGAAAATTCTTTCAGCCAACTTCCCTACCATTATTGGCAAACGTTGATTCTTTTTCTTCTCTTTTTTATATCCAATTATGATATCCCATTCCAGTTATTACAACAAAAAAGTTCCATTCCATCCAGGTTAAAACAGGTGGCTTAGAGTAACAAAAAAAAAAAAAAACAATCCGAATTGGATTCACTTCAATAGCGAAAACATTCCGCCTATGTCCTAGGACATTACCAGACAGAAAAATAAATTCTATATATAGTTTTTGAAGTGCCATCAAAAAGATCTGAGAGAATTTGACCAGTGAAAATGATGCAAGAAAAATAGAGTCAAACTCAAATATATTAGAGCGTAGTTTTTACATTTGTTTCTTGACTGCTTTCAGTATATTCATTGAGCTTTTTGAAAAGTGTTCATGAACAATAATCCTTTCAAAGAATATTATCTGCGATATTCTCAAATTCTTTATAATGCTTACCATTTCTCTTTCTCTCACACATACACACAAACAATTGATGTCCTTATATAGAAAACAATTAAATTGATACTAATTAAAGACTAAAGATTTCCTTGATTTTCTGTTTTTAACTTGGAAAACCCTTTTCTTTGCTGAGTACAAGAGACTAAAGAGGAGAAAGAGAGGAGAAAGAGGAGAAAGAGAGGAGAAAGAGAGGAGAAAGAGAGGAAAGAGAGGAGAAAGAGAGGAGAAAGAGGAGAAGAAAGAGAGGAGAAAGAGGAGAAAGAGAGGAGAGGAGAAAAAGTGTTTTTAATTTTAATAATGATATAAAAAAAAAAAAAAACAGAATCTGTAATAAAATAATTAAAATATACAAAATAGATTTTTTTTTTGTAATTGTAATTTTAATTTTGTTTGCTGATGTCATTGTTCAGATTTTGGGGGTAAATGTGAATGCTGGAATCAAACTCATTTGATTACAACACCAGGATAATGAATTAATGATCAGAAAGCAGAGAAAATAAAATGCCCCCCAACTGAAAAATAAAATGACTCCCCCTCCCCGACTGAAAAAAAAAAAAAAAAAAAAGATTCTTATTCTTAAAATCACCATTCAAATATCAAAGAAAATACAATTTATTTGAAAACATAAAAGGAGAATCAGAATTTTAAATAGCTTTAACATTACATTTCATATATATATATATATATATATATTAATACACTATGCACACTATATATATATATATATATATATAAAAGCATCATATCTTATATAGTGCACTGTTCTATAAATATAGCTGACTTTAAATTATGTAATGCATGCATAAGAAATAACATTTTAAAATGTTTATTTTACATATTTTAAATATTTCAAATAGATCACTCTTATATATATAAGAAAAGGAATAAAGAAAGAAAAAATAGAATAAATTTGATCATTGAGTTGTTGAATTTGAATGCGTTTCATGGAATCACTTCTACTCTTCAGGAGGTTTAATAGTGAATTGAAATTATTTTATTTAT